ATAAGAAATAATCAAATTTTATTGCAATATATTTATTAAAATTAATGTTAGGTTGTTGCATATGAAATGGCCGATTTCACAACTGTGCAGGGTTTTCAAAATTGCGTACCAAAGTAAAGCCTGGAGTTAACTAAAATCATCTGGCATTTAATCTTTGGACCGCGGAGGCTGGGTCACCGCTGACCCAGCTTTTAGACGTCACGACTCTCCCCTCCTTATGTTATAAACGTTTGTTATTTTAATTGTAATATTGGATGATTGCAAAAATTCGTGCCCGATATTGAGACGTGGCGGGAACCTTATCGCACTTCGGCACAGATGTTTGTTTTAGTCTCATGTTACATTCCTATCGGAAGATACACCGCTTGTGTTTTATTTTCAAATAATTGTTCACTTCATTTCATTTTATTTTCAAATAAAATGTGCCTTTGCACAGACCGCTTGTGTTTTATTTTCAAATCGGGCACGAATTTTTGCATAATTTTTAACAATATAAAGCCTAGTAAAAGGAAAAGATGTGGTTTCTCTTGCGTAGGATAAAGATTTTAGTATTGGGTCATATTTGACCCGGCATCGCCGTGTCTGCAACTATCACGCCATCCGCTGTCCGAGGGCTCATAGTGAAATAATTGACGAACCACTGTGACCGGGGTTTCGTCAGTTGTTTCGCTGTTAACGACAGTGAGTCACGAATCAAGATCAAATTCCACTGACTACGTTTTATAGCTAAAATTTAGTAACAAAAGTGAAGTAAAGAACGTTTTCAAAGGCTTCCTTGCACCTAGAGATGAAGAGTTTTCTTTTAACAAAGGCATTAATAACCTTGTTTTCCGATGCTCAGAGCGTATTGAAACCAGTGGATCATACTCTGATTAATAAATATCATTTTTACGTTTTATATTTTTTTTTGGTATAATCCCGACTAGAATTTCAGTTAGGCATGCCTAAAGACGAATGTGGGCCTAATGCGGAAACGATTAGGCACACCTAAATGCTGCAAGCCTAATCGTTACCGCATTAGGTCCTAATTCGGAAGGAATGATGCATGCCTAAGTTGGGCATTCCTAACAGTTACCATATGTGGCCGAGCATTAGGTCCTAATTCGGAAGGAATGATGCATGCCTAAGTTGGGCATTCCTAACAGTTGCCATATGTGGCCGAACGCACGCCTAAGTTAGGCATTTCTAACAGTTACCATACGTGGCCCAAATGGGGGTGGCCGAGCGCACGCTTAGGTTGGGCATTTCTAGCAGTTGCCATACGTGGCCCAAATGGGGGTGGCCGAGCGCACGCCTAAGTTAGGTATTCCTAACAATTGCCATACGTGGCCCAAATGGGGGTGGCCGAGTGCACGCTTAGGTTGGGGATTCCTAACAGTTGCCATACGTGGCCCAAATGGGGGTGGCCGAGCGCACGCTTAGGTTGGGCATTCCTAGCAGTTGCCATACGTGGCCCAAATGGGGGTGGCCGAGTGCACGCTTAGGTTGGGTACTCCTAACAGTTGCCATACGTGGCTGAAATGGGGATGGCCGAGCGCACACCTAAATTAGGTGGAGTGGGGCTCTCAAACTTATATGTAGGAATATTTACAGACATCTCAGTGTCGGACGTACGCTTGCGTGAGAGCTTTCAACAAGATTTGAGATTTCATTAATGTCTCCCAATGACAGCCTAATAAAGCTATTCTAATATGGGCCTAATGCGGCCCTAACGCGACTTTCCCAATTAGTTACATTCCGCATGCGGGCCTAATATCTGCCTAACTGAAATTTCTAGTCGGGATTTTTCATAAATAAAATTTTTATTTCTATCAGCCTTAGTGTTCGTAAATATCGACACGATATGGTTTAAGTAATATAATAAATGAATATTAATTGCTTCACCAGTATTTAAAAACACAAGCAAAAATAATTAGTACTGAAACAATACGAAAGCATATCGAAAAATATTCACAATTCATTTTCTTGTGCAAACAGGTTTCGTTCTGCACTTTTCGTGTATTGCTATACAAAGAATCTTTTTTCTTATTGTATCCCAAATGACATCTCACTTTACATTTCTATATTTGGGCAATGTAATTGTCCATTTTTAATTTATTTTTTCATTAAACAACACACACACCGTTTGATAGTAATAAATTTTACAAGACACTCTGCATTTTAAAAAACGTGAAGCAAAATTTACACATTTGATCAATTTTATTCAATACGAACGCAGAGAATAAGATATTTAAAGAATTTTTAATTATGAAATTATAAATACGTGTGATAGAAGTAGAAAGCAATATTCGAAAGTTGTTACATTATTTTTCAAGTTTTCTTAAGAGAAGTATCTGTTCCTAATTTGGAAATATTACGCCTCCAGCAAAGAACAGAATGAAAATAATCATGGCATGCTTCCAAAGGTTTCGTTGCTTGTCAATGCGGATATCACCTTTAAATAGAGTATTTGAAATAGGCGAATGACGAGTACACGTATTTAGAGATATTTTTGAACAGTGTCACGATAATAAAAACTTGTATTCTAGTTAAAGTGACCAGATATACTGATTTATTCAGTACAGTGCTGATTTTAAAGCTAAAATTTGTACTGAATGTTGTATTGGTTTTAACCCTAGAGCGGTCTTCGGGTCTTTTTTGACCCACCGCCTTTTTATATTTTTAGTCATTTTTGCTGTTATCAAGATTACGTTCCTTAACATTATTTTGAACGTTTATCGTCTAGGTTCATATGTCGCGTTGGAAACAAAAATTATTACACACAAGGTCTTGGGTCCTTTTTGACCCGAAAGTCTTAAGTGTACAGTCGAAACGAAAACCGCTCTAGGGTTAAGAAAAACAACTGTAGATGTACAAAAAAATATATTCTATTAAAATAATTGAATATCTCCTATGTATTCCTGGTACAAGTGCACCAGTAGAAAAAGTATTCTCAATCAATCAGGGTTAGATTCTTTCGAAAATATACTAATTGCAAAGTACAATATTAACGTAAACTGTGGCCAGTTTTATGAAGTAATTTGTAATAACGAAGAATTATTAAAGGCGATTTATTCTTCAAATAAATATGTGTAACTATTGTTTAAGTATTAGGTACTTAAGCAATCGTTAAATTTAATAATAAAAACGTAGAGAGTTTGATTTATTTATTTTTTCTAATTCGTCAAATACAATAATTGAATTAAAATGTAATTTAATTTCATTACAGTTACGAAATATATCCGTTCTTTTGTTCTTTAAAAAAAGTGAACGGAATTTGCCTTGAGAAAATCTGGTCAGTTTAATTACAGTATATCGATGAATACAAGATCTACTTTTCTGTTTATTCTTTAAATATTACATCCTATAATTTCTGTAGAGTGGTATCTATCATATATGGTTAATTTAATCGTAATTTCATAAGAATAACTGTTAGATCTCCAAAAGCAGGGCAACCTTATCTTGAACAAAATACTTTATACTTTATAAAATATAATATTCGTAGTTATATATTATGTTTCGTATTACTTATTGCGAACCTTTAATCAGTATATTCAGTAAATGAATATACTACTCTATTCAAAAAGTTCCAGGACAAATCCAAATTCAGATTATTCATTCGTTCAGCAATAACCATTTGGTGACTTTCAAAATAGTCCCCATTACTCGCAGTACACTTATGCCAACGGTTTCTCCAATCTTCGAAACATCGCTGGAACTCCATTTCTGCGATGGCTTGTATCTGATTTTTAGCGAATTTTGTTGATGTTATTAGGTAATCTTGAAAGTTCCCGCAGTTTCAAGTGGTTTCATTTCAAACACACGTAACTCCGTTGAAATTACACATTTTTATTTAAGTGCCACGTCAATTTCACGCGACTTCTCTTTCAAGCCACGTGGGTCACCGATGAGATTCGGATTTTTATGTACGCACGGAATTAATACTCTTGCGGTACGTTGGCAAAAGTGTATCGAACATTACAGAAATTATTTTAAATAAAAATGTTTAATTTTAGTAGAGCCATGTTTTTTAAAAAAAAAACGGCTTAAAAGCGCGGGAACTTTCAGGATGACCTAATAGTTGAGTTTTTGGTCAAAAAGTCGCGAACACGCACCGAAGTGTAAACCGACGGATTATTAATTGCTTTTTCCATACATTTGGCCGTTTTTTACGGATCGAATCACGAAAGCGTCTTGTGACACCCAAGTAATATTGTTTATTTATGTTTGCCAGTTGGTAGAAATTCTTCGTGCACCACACCGGGTTAATGGAGAAACGAGTTTGTCCTGGAACTTTTTGAACAGAGTAGTACATTCGTTCGATTCCTTAAAATTTTGTTCATATTTTCAGAGAACGTTATGTTCGCCCCCACGTTTAAAGCTTCCTCCGCGACACGAGGTAAAGTTGCAAACGAAACACACGAGACTAACAGAGTGCTTTGTAATATTGTGAACTCTGAATTATAAAAGAAGGCGTTCGTATTAACAAACTAAAAAAAAAAATAGCAGAAAATGAACATTTTTTGTCATCTGAGAACTAATTAGCGCAGCTTTTACTGTAGAACGTGAGAATTTCGTACAAAATTTTGAAAGAAATTTTCCTAGAATTTTGATAACAAAGTTAGTTGTTTATTCATAGATTAGTGTGAAGAGGCAATTTGAGACATTGAGACATTTAAAGACATTGTTCCTCCGGAATAATACCACTGTTTGATTTAATTTAGTGCAGTTAGTTCGTTTTACAATGGTATTTTCCAGCTTTATTTAGAAAGCTTGTAATTCATAAATCCTCAAATGTAAATAAGCGACCAGAATGCGCTATTGTTTTAAGCTTCTCAGAGAAAATACTGCTTTTGACAATTTTATTAACCCCTTAACGTTCATGCCTGTGTCTCGATAAGTGCAATTTTTTTAAATTATTTCCTTTCATTCTCCATATTTCCTTATTCTTTCTATTATGGCAAAAAAAGTAAGTTATACCATTATAAATAATGGGAAACTTAGGAAATGATAAATAGTCTGTACACTTAGGAAATAATTAAAAAGGAAAGAAAATTGATCTTATTTGGTATATCAAGTTAAGAAAAATGTGATCGTTAACGGGTTAATCTAAAATGCACAAACTTTTCAATAGTTATTTCCAGAATAAAAAATTTGAAACTTAAACATGGTATAACATAACATAACTTTAACAATGTACACGTGTGTTGTCTTTTTGTGTAAATATGCATGCTATAAGTGTTAACAGATGTTAATGAACAATTCTTCATTGTGAAAATTTGGTTGTTTGTAGCAAAGTAAGATACATCTTCAATTTCATTTTCTGCCAAGATGCTTTTCTGCGTTACACGTAAATTAAATGTACTATTATAACATGAGTATGCACTACTGTCTAATAGTTTGGTCTCGCGCGCCACTTTTTGCCAACGCTTTATTGAAGTTCAGGGACTTGATTGTTAGTTTAATTTGGGCGAATGAAATTATTTTACGATCTGAGTTACAAGCTATACTGCAGCTACTAAATTATTAATTTACTTTTGTAAAATCGGTTATACTTAAATATTTGAAGAAGTGTTACATTTGAACAATATTTTCACGTGTATTATTCCTTTGTCAAAGGAATTTCATCTCCTTTTAAAAAAGTTTCTTTATTAAACATTCCCTTAGAAAGTATTACAAGCGAATTATTTCAAATATTTAACGATTCTGTCCAAAACATTTTATGATATAAAAGACATTTGTTCCCATTTTTCCCCCTCGTTGTGCAAATTCATAAACGAATGAATCATGTTAGCAGGGAAGAAAGTTTCATATTGCTGTAACTGTTGAAAATTCTTCTTGAATTTTTGCGACAAGACTGCTGCATTTAAATCAGCAGGTTCGTTTGAAGTTATGTCACCTTAACGTTACTAAACTTCCTCGTTATAATTTTAAAATGAAATGAAATGCAAATTGGCACATCGCGCGACAAGTTGTTCCAAAAAGTCAGCCCGACATTGTACTCTACCACTTGACGGCCAATTCCAATTAAACGTACCTTAATATAGACACCTATAAATTTGTAAATGAGCACTTCCATTGAATGGGCCGATGCTTACTTCTTGCCCTTGGAATCAATGGGCGCGAAGAGGAAATTATTACATAGTTTCTCTTAGGTGGTGAATAGATGTTCGTATATTCGGTGCATTCGAATACTGAATTATTCGAATAATTCGAATATTCCAAGTGTTCGAATTTCGGATTGTGCCTAATATTTGGTACATTTGGAAAACTCGAGTGTTCAAATACCAGCAGAATTCAGATTTCAACTTTGAATAGTTGAATTATTCGAATAATTCGGATAATTCGAATATTCGAAGCGTTCGAATGTCGGATTGTGCCTAATATTTGGTACATTTGGAAAACTCGAGTGTTCAAATACCAGCAGAATTCAGATTTCACCTTTGAATAGTTGAATTATTCGGATAATTCGAATATTCGAATGTCAGATTGTGCCTAATATTTTGTACATTTCGAATACCAGTAGAATTCGGATTCCAACTTTGACTAGTTGAACTATTCGAATAATTCGGATAATTCGAAGAGCTCGAATTTCGGATTATACCGAATATTCGAAGTGTTCGAATTTCGGATTGTGCCTAATATTTCGTACATTTGGAAACTCGAGTGTTCAAATTCCAGCAGAATTCCGATTCCAACTTCGAATAGATGAACTACTCGAATAATTTGAAGTATTCGAATTTTGGATTGTACCAAATATTTTAACCATTTCGAATATTCGAATACCAGTAGAATTCGGATTCCAACTTTGACTAGTTAAACTATTCGAATAATTCGGATAATTCGAAGAGCTCGAATTTCGGATTGTACCGAATATTCGAAGTGTTCAAATTTCGGATTGTACCGAATATTTCATACATTTCTTAAAAGCCACTGCGAAGCACTGTACACGAGGTTTAGAAACGTCTTACAAACATCATAAAGATAATTTTTATACGTTATTAGAACGTACTGATTTTCGACATAAATGGACATAGAATGGACATCTCTGAGACGTCGGGTACTATCTGGGCTAACATATATTATAATTTACCATTCACTTATATATTTTACACTTATAATACAGTTTGCAAATGAAAATAAAACGAAATTGTATTTTTTATGTACCTACAGATATCCAAAATGAATAAATATTTCATAAATTTAGTACTGTAACAGCTCTTCAAGTTTATACTAACCGTATACAACATATAACAATGTAAACAGTATAAATATAAACAAATGGTTTTATTCTAATTATCACATCCATATTATTCAATAGAAACATTTATCCATATATTATATTTGTTCTGAAAACTTCAGATTATGTTAGACAAACCTTTTTTTCAATTCTAAAAAATATAATACCTCTACGAGTCTTGCAATAGGGATAAATTTTTCCGAGTACAGCTCACACAATGACCACTTTGAAATAGTACAAGGAGCAACAAATAGCCGTCAGCGTGCAACTCAAAAATTGCTTCCGCTCTTTTCTGAGTACGATTGATGTAATAAAGCGAGGAAGCAGCGTCAAAGACACCATTCTCTGTATAGTCGGTGGAATCGATATAGCGAGGTACATTCACATGTATTTTTCTTATTGGCTGAAACAGTTATATCTAGAAATCGGATCATACCGCTAGTTGACATTGACAGTGGCATAACTCAAAAAAGCCAGTTTTGATTCTTTTTGCACAGATACATTCCATAAATACAGTATTTTCATAATCTAACACGGTACATTTCCAACTTCGTTAGTTTCATACCAGAGAGCAAATCAGATTATACAATCAGCATATTCAATTATTAGTCAAATGCAAATTTTTAACCACTTTTTCTGTGAAATTTACATTACGCTAGTGATCTATATCAAAAATCTAAAAAAATTGAATCTCACTTATTTTGCGTTACGTCGATCTTTTCCTAGAAAAGAGTTATATTACAAGAGCAAGTATTTATGAAATATTTTATTACACAATAAAACAGTACGTTTTAATACACCCAAAGGAAAACTCGAAGTATCTCGAAACGAAAAATATATGATTTAGGCCACTTTCATAATCACCGGCGTATATCGAGACTGCCGGATATATGCTATGGAGTAGAGTGATAGCGAACTTCCACGAACTTCAAAGCAATAGCGTACCCGCGGTAGGTTTCGGAACGTATCACCTGCGGATACGGAGATCCTACAACTATATCAGTGGGTGTCGTCAAGAATCTAAAGGTAGAGGCTTCGTGAGGATCACAGACGGGTTCGGGCGGGGTATAGTCGGTGGAACCGATATAGTGAGGCCGTAAAATCAGCCAGGCGTCAAAGTACACGTAATCTGTGCACCAAAACAGTAATTCGAGGGAGATGAGGAGTTCGAGTCTTGCTCTGAGCCGTTTGATATCAACTCGGAATTGCTTCTTCCGTTGCAGTATATTTAAAAAATTAGTCTGCGCCTTAATCATTGACAGCTGCAGGTTAATTTTTATCAATATGGAAATTACTATTGGACAGGAGGCGACGAGAACTTAATACCGTATATTTCAAACGAAAGATTTGTAAACAGTTTAAATATTAATTCACAAACAGTGCACGATCTCGGTGCTGCTGCTTAACCCTTGAACCTATAACGACGAGTCTGACTCGTGGCAGAGATTTTGGTCAAGATAGGACAAAAATAGTTACATCAGTAGGAAAAATTAATTGTAATCCTATCTTTCGATTTAATTTGCAAGACTGAAGATTACTAAATGTAATTAATCCGTAATAGATTAACTTTCATTACCTGATACAGTATTAAAAGAGTAAGTGTCTGACGCTTAGATGCAGTCAGAAAAGAAATTAGAGGTTAAGGGGTTGATGTTCTAATTTACGACCTTACTATATCGCTTCCACGAATTATACGAAGTTTGACCGAAAAATTCTGAAAAAGATCCGAATTTTTACGGTGATTTTTATAATTCAATTTTCTTTGCCTCAGCGGTGTTTAAACTAGATCTCGTTGAGGCACAATTTCACTTCTTAGCAGAAAGCAGTCACCTTTATCTCCCACCCAGTTGACTCAGCTTTGTGTGACTTGTCTTTTGCTCTCGAAACTGAAGATTCTAGAGACAATGAAAAATTCAGGGGCTGATCTGAAAGCAATTTCTAAAAGTGCCTGCAACGAGGATTTTCAGTAGTGCAAAAGGTATTGGCAACGATGCGCAGTTGCTACAAGGGAATATTTTGAAGAGGATCGTTTCAATTCAGAATGAGTTTTTATTAACAGAGTTTTACGACGCAAGTCCGGATATTTTTCGATGAAACCAAACGATCCACACTTCTATCGGCTAAGATTAGCGAGCCTCTTACGGATTTTGAATTGTTGATTTTGGTTGATTGGATTCACACCACGTGGCTAGGTTGCCGCGCGTGGCTCGATGCAAGGGCCCTAACGCAGTTTTCTCACGTTGAACCCGAATGGAATGTCGTTTATTCAGAGCTTCGAAGCCGCAATTGGATCAGTAATCAACAGACTAAAACAGCAGCATCATTATTTACGATGTTACCTGAAATAATAAAATGTGATGTGAATCGAAATTCTTGGATAGTTAGCATTCTATAACGCGTGGAATTGAAAAACAGGAAGCTCCGGTTAATTTTTGTTTCTGTCGTAACATTGTTGTGTGTACTGTTTGAAAAGGTGCACAAAAATATGGAAGAAGTTCAGTTTTGGGGCGATGATGTATGCAGGGTGTCCAATTTTGATCTACAAATGCGAATTACTCGTAAACTGCCCGCGGTATGAAAAATGGTTCAGAAAGGAATTTAATGGTTTCGAGAAGGACATAATCTGGTCTAATTAGTTTTTCTGCAGATGGACACATAGAAGTCATACGAAGGTGACATGTTTTTTTTTACGATGGTCAATTCACTATTTAGATTTGCTCTGTTCTGAGATTCTGGGGTAAGTGCCGTGCTGTTTCTCACAGTCCTCTTACCAGAAGGCACCCTCGCCTTCCCCACTCCGTGGCCAGCTTCTTCAGGAACAATATTCACATCCTTAAAGCAACGCAAATTGCCTTAAAGCATCCCCAAACTTCCTCACGCATTCTTCTAAACAATCAGACCTATGCCACCCGATAGCTAGGTGTCTTCACTAGTTATCGTTCGACGTCTGCGTATTCTCACTCTCTCCGGCCACACGCAGGCTAAGTCCGCGCCACAAATTGTACGAAAGCAAAACAGCGTTGTGCCAATTGCCTTCGACGACACTTAAAGTACGTTGTTGCTAACGTCTTAACCCTCTACTATCGAGACACCGTTTTTGGAGACGTAAATCCCGATGTGGAGTCTACGAAACTTTGGAACTTCCAGTTAGTTTATACGTAAATATAGAACATTTCTGACTACTTTTCTTACTGATTTTCCTAATGAACATTATAGAATAGAGTGGTTGGTTGTATTAATTTCATTTTAGTATAATAGTGTCGAGTTCTAAATAGAACGGAAGGAAACGAGAAAGATAGAATTAGCGAAGTCTCTGAGACTCCGCCTCGGCAGTAGAGGGTGAATCGTATAGTTTTTAGTGCATTAGCCGATGCAGCTCTTTATTTCCTATAAGAAAGTATTAAGGTATTTATGTCGAAAAACTATTAGTTTATGAGACACTTGAGTCTCAGTATTGCAAAGTGGTACTGGCACACCTATCTGCAGCTACATTTTCTGAATTGGCAGTGGGCGATTGTTTTTTACAAAATGATAGGAGGGCAATAAGACGAAACCAATTATATCATTTTATGGAAGCATACAAGCATGCATTCACAGTCGAGGCAATGTCTTTGAACATTTGGACTTTTAAATAAATTCATTACTTTCGATGTTCTGTTTCACAAATTCTTTAATGAAATGATATGAACTACAAATGACCCACACTCGCCTCTTTCACACTTTTTTATCCTTGCACCCGCACATTATTCCTTTATCTGCTCCTTTACTCCTTTCATTCTCAAATCCTTGAGTGGCCACGCATCTTTCGATCATGATCTCAAGCACTCTGTCTTAAACTCTCTTCTTCCACAACTCTGTCACATCAGTTTAAGTATATACTCTTCGTTCACACAACTATCGTTCCTAATCTGACTCTTGCGTACGTAATCAAAGGTAACCAAAATGTTCACGGTTGTTTCACGCTTCAATATTTAAAATTGTTTGCATAAATTTTTATATTGAAAACGTGTATCGACGTAAAAATGTCCAAAAAATGGAGATTCAGAGCGATTTTACGATACTTTCACGAGAACATGACAAATTTTTAAAGGAAAATATAGAAATGGGTACCTGGGTACTCGGTTGTCTACAAAAGGATTAAACACTCGCAGGAAAATGTGATCACTCCTGCAACAGTACTGTGTCTCATCCTACAAATACTCAATTTTCATTTTCCTTCTCTGAAACTTTAGAATTATATGTATATTAACTTCGTAAATGACGAAAATTTGCAAAAATAGATAAGTGTGGTCCGCTCATTTACATTCTCGTAAAGAATATCTGGTTGAACTCTACAAGCCCGCTAGTGTACATAATTTCCAGTTGTAAATAAACAATAAATTCAATAAGAAACACTCAAATATTAATTCAATTTCTAGTTCTTCAGTGTAACATTAGTCGCTTTTAAATACGACATATGACAGTTAAGTGGAATAACACAATAACATTTTGCCTGGAGTTATATTTTCATGTTACTAATTCACAAGTGTCAAATATTTCTTCGAACAACAATTACGAAACACCGATGACTGTGATTTAACGGTAGCAATGTTTATTGTTAGGCGTTTGGTCACCTGGAAGCGAGCCACCGCCACCCCCGAAGGTGCCGTGCTCTGAACAAAAAGAGTCTGAAAAAGATGCCGGTATTCCTCCTGTTTGGACGCCTTCCAATGCCGGAGCCAGTCCAGTTCCCGAGAAAAAGGAATTTCGGCCGGTGCAATTCGAAAGCCCCACTCTAAGCCGAAAAAAGTTAGCTCAGCAAGAAGTAAGTTATCACGATTTACGTTACGATCCCTTCCGCGTACTCATAAATTACACAGGGGCTATTACAGTTTCCGTCCCGACAAAGTTGGGGAATGCGAATGCTTTGTTGTAATTGTTGAAACACTCTTTTACTTAAAACACAATCGGTTGTGCACATGTTATTGTTTGCAGTGATTCTTTTTTTTTTTTTTTGGTATTATTAACCCTCCGTAGGTAATCTGGGTCTTTGACGACCCAAGCGAAACTCCCGTATTTCTTCAAAACGAATCTTTATTTTTATTGAGAAAAGTTTGAAACATTTCGCTTACCGAATAACTGTATAATGTAGTAGAGACTTTGATAAGTACTCGAGAATATTTTCAGATTTTTTGAAAGCTTAAAACGGAAAGAAATTGGTCTTGGACACAAACTGCCCAGTTTGCCTATGGAATGTGAAGAAATATGTTTGCCTGCGGAGGGTCAATATGATGCAAAAACCTTCATAAGGATATTGTTGGAAATCCGCGGGTATTTAGGGAATGCGTGGTTTTATTTTAATTAAAGTAGTGTATTTTCATACGGCTATTACAACAAAGAGACTACATGGGAAATTAACAACAATGTGCCCTTGAAGAAATGCTTAGAGTGCGACCTAAAGTTATATACATAGAGGGATTATTTATAGGGGTGGAGAAATATGTTGAGAATGTATAATGACGTTTTGCTTGCGCGGAGCCTTTGTTCCCGTGTGAGTTGAGGTTGCAAATTGATCGAGGTGTAGGACACGGTTGCAGTAGCAGAAAAAGAATTTTTATATCGTTGAACGGTGATTTTTAAGTAGGAAGATACTTTTATTTCACTGTTCATCTTTGAAACTTGAATGCCCACATTGTTGCAGTCTCTATTCTCGAATGCATCATCGATGGAAACATTATTTCGAATGCAAAAGATTGCTGTACGCATTACTTTTGAATGCAACATTGCTTGAAGCGTTATATTTCAACGCAAACATTGTTGGAATCTCTATTTCTGATTGCAACATTATTAGAAGCGTTATTTCGGACGCAAACATTATTACAAGCACTACGCTTGAATGTAACATCGACACAAACGTCGTTCTCGCTTGTAACATCGTTAACTCGTATTATTTCCGAATGCACATTGTGGCAAACGTGATATCGAGTTTGCAACTTTGTTGCCGGGAGTCGCTCCCGAAAATTGCACATTGTTGCAAACGCGTTCTCGGTTTGCAACTTTGTTGTCTCGAAAATTTGCACATTGTTGCACGGCGCCCCGTTTTGCAACTTTGTTGCCGGGAGTCGCTCCAGGAAAATTGCACATTGTTGCAAACGCGTACCAGGTTTGCAACTTTGTTGCCACGAGTCGCTCCTGAAAATTGCACATTGTTGCAAACGCGTTCTCGGTTTGCAACTTTGTTGTCTCGAAAATTTTCACATTGTTGCACGGCGCCCCGTTTTGCAACTTTGTTGCCGGGAGTCGCTCCAGAAAATTGCACATTGTTGCAAACGCGTACCAGGTTTGCAACTTTGTTGCCACGAGTCGCTCC